GAGAGAGAGATGCGAATAGAGAAAATGCGAAAGAGAAGAGGGATGCGAGTTGGCCGGAGTGGTGTTTCCCCAGGGTAAGCATGAGCATATACTTGCCCGGGGCTTATTCAGACAAATCGGTGATTGCTGCGGAGGCGAGCGAAAAGGTAGATCGTAGTCGCCGCTGCTGCCACTGCCGCTGCCACCACCATCACCGTCACCATCATCCTCACTAACACCATCACCGACCGCTCGTTGCCTTTGCCATCGTACCAAAGCACTTCGCACCGCAAACACGTTGCGCTTCCTATCGGTGCAACGATAGAACGAGGCATTACGCTGAAATCCGCCATGAATGCGAAGGTAGAACGACAGAGACGAAAGGTCACACAGACAGTGAAGTAACAGAGGCGGAAGTGGCAGAATAGAGAAGATTCTGTGCGATGTGGAGGGTTGTCCGTGAGATGGCGAGAGAGATGGAGAAATAGAGAGAGAGAGAGAGAGAGAGAGAGGGGAAGAACGCAGTCGGACTGAAGAGGAACTGGGAGAGAGAAGAATGATTGTTTCCATGATTACAATGGAGAGAGGAAGAGGAAAAGGGGAGACGGGCTCGGGTAGGGTAGGATAGAGGGCAAGGATGGGTGGCGGACGCGGGTAAAGCGGTATGGGGAGCAATCTCTTAGCGCTAACGTAGATTCGTGGGACGGGGTCTCTCGAAATATTACACTGGAAAGGTACCGACGACCGCCGCCGACGCGGACGTACCCATCGGGGAATTTCGTAACTGTGCGGATAATGTGTGTCAGCCATCGAGCCTGTCCGAAGTGCTTTCCCAAAGAAAATACTTTGCACCTCGTTTGGATACCGGAAAAGATGCAAGAAGAGAAAGAGAAAAACACAGAGACTCGTCACATCACTTCGTAGCCGTCGGCACTGGTTCCGTCACGGACGATTCATGGAGGAGGATTTATATCCCAAGGACGAAGGAACGTAAGCCTCAGATTCAAGGTGCTAATGCTCTTACAAAAGCTAGCAGTGGAAATAGCGGTCGAGTGGTTCCGTCCGGGGGAAAAGTATAGAGCTCGTTTTTAATTTATCAACCCCGGGAAAGAGAAAGTCTTTCTCTACGTCTCTTTCTGTTGTAATGAACGTTTCTTGTTGCAACGAGCCAGCGTGGAAAATTCTCGGATAAAAGCGCACCGGAGACGAGAGTAACGCTGCTACGGACGAGAATGTATACGAATAACTAGAGAAATAGTATTTCAGTTATTAAATTAAGCAACACACAATGAAACTGCGCACTCGGGAGAAGTAATTCTCGAAACTATGATGAAAAGAAGGAATCGTGTACAACGATTGGCGTGCAACGTTCCATCGGACGATTTTCCCACTCAAAGGCTTCAAGCCGATTACACATCGCCTCCGAATATCTCGTTAATCTCATCACGCTCCGCGCGCAATCACTGGGTGTGATTACTATTGAGAATAATTCAATCAACAATTAGTTACTTGTTAATGATTTGAATATTATTTATTTAGCAAATGTTAACTGTTATGTATATATATTTGTTAGCAAAATTTCATGCTTCTAAAAAAATTTGATGTCTCGCGCAATTGGTACTTATACTTCTAATTGTGATATATAATTGATTTAGTCAATGTGATAATAACAATCGTGATACATAATTGATTTATGCAATGCAAAATTATTATATATAAATGCATCGTTATTATATAAATTAAATAAATACATAATTATTAGGTGGCTTTTGCTTGGATCGTCCATTATCGGCTCAAATCCTCATTAAGAGCTATATCCCGCCTCTATATTCATTTTTAATATGGCAGTCATAAATTGTATATTTAAATATTCCTGTTTTCTCTTCATAATTAATTAAAAGATATTTTCTCAGCACACGGAAATGCAAAATGGAGTAATTTATATCTCTAACAATCTAATTAATAGCAAAGTCTCTTTGATGCAAGGATTATCTTTAAGCATCTTTAGCATCTACCGTGAAAGCTATCTTAACATAATATATAATCTAATGTAATCAACCGCCTTTCGAATGTCGATTGCACATTATAGGCAACTAAGTTTTTAAACATTAAATATTAAAATAAAAAAATGTACCTATTTATAAATTCATGTAACTTCATTTTCTTGAAGTACTTTGGATATCGGTAAATTATTCAGATGCCTTTTTCATTTTTACTTAACGACTTAGATATATTTAATATTTAGATATAAAAAATTAATGTTACTATATAATTTTTAATTTTTAGGAGAATATTGAAAAATCGCAAGAAAAATTCCATTTAATAATACACGCTGAAGAGAATTACATTATTAAACATATTCCGTAGAATCAAGAAAGAAAAAAAAGAAATATTATCTAAAACGTGCAGTGAAATAGAAGTTTCAGATTTATATTTCATTAATTACCCTTTCCAATCAGATTCTTCCAATATTATCCGGATATCCACTAGTTCTCAGAATCGTGACTATGCAAAATGCCGCACTAAGTCGCCGTTTGAGTTCTCTGGAGGTTTTTCTGCGATAAGCATGCCATCTCCGTAGAGGGAGGATGACATTATTCCGGGATAGCATCGTACGAATCGTTATCTTCTTCGTAGAGATAATGACTCCGCAACCTCGACACTGATAACGTTCTATCATTCTTTTCATAGACAAGACAAACTGTGTTCCTCCGTGACAATGTATTTAAAGCGTCGTCGATTATGCTTCGATAACGAAAGGATTCAAATGGCGACTGCCATCATCTCTCAGTTTTCTTCTGTCCAACCCTTTCCCATTTGCTGCAGTCGCTACAGGCACGTAGCGTCTCGTTTTTCGCGCAAATAGCTGCCTTTATCGGAAACTCGATTTATATTGTACTACTTATACTACATCGATTCGATTAAGCTATGCGGTGCACAGCTTGCCGCTTCCTCATTACCATGATCACAAGTGGTGCTCTAAACAAAGGAAAACTTTTCTTATAGAAAGAAATACGATATTATATCGCAATGATTTTTTTTTAAGAGAAATATATCAAATACACTTCTCCATTTTTCTCTTTTCAAGTTTCGCATCACAAAACATAAATTTAATTAAGTTATAATTTTATTCTCAATTTTTATATGTCTTAATATTCCAGTTGTATATTTTTATATTTTGAAAAATTAGAGGTTTTGTAAAACTATTTAAAAGTAAGTAAGTTTTTACTTTGTAAAAATACTTAAAAGTATTATTACGCATAAAAATAAATACTAAGATTTCTTGTCAAACTAATTATTATGAATATTACTAATACTATTATTAATATTATTAATATATTTATTAATTGATATTGTTTAGCATTCCAAAATTTAAAGTGTACGATTAAATGACAAGCTTTTGTGAAAGCAACTAATATTTTAAATAATTTAATATAGTTTTCAAAAAACAAGATTTTTAACGATATTTACGACTAAAAACAGACTAGACTTTGTTTCTACGGTCAACTTGTCAACACATATCAGGTGAACGCAGTGTATACCCTCAAGGCCAATTAACCCTGTTTTCAGTGATCAACCCTTCGTCTAAGCTCGAGGGTAGCTTGCGGCGAAGTACACGCGTGTCGCACAGGTGTGTATGGATGACACACCACCAACTAGCGGTGTCCCAGCGCGCGGCATGTAACTGGCTGCCCGCGTATGACCGAAGGTGGTTATATGGGTTGCACAACAGTCACTTGAGATTAATTACCAAGTGCATCGTTAGAGATAACACGGCGAAGGCTTGGTGGCGGCGGTTAAGTGAGGCGATGGCGCCCAGATACGACGTTAAATTGAACCTTTCGTCACCGCTGATTCCAGCACCGATCCGATCCGACCTAACTCGGCGCAAGTCGAGTACAATATGCGTACTTGCCTAAAAGCAATTACTGCCGACGGGTACACATACATACATACATGTACGCACGTGAACTTGATGATAGCGCGCGATATAATATTGTTCGGCCAGCATCTCGTTCGTACCGGCTCTCGTCAAACCCGTAGCGGGACACGAGTGAAGGACGATATCTGATGTTAAACTCCGTGCGCGGTTGCTGAATATCATTATGAGCTACATCTCGATTTAATAGCTTTATCGAGCTATTCTCAAGTTAATAGCCTGATTTTTCGCAAAAATATAGAGTAGATACTCGAATGAACGACAATTAATCTAGGCTATTTATATGCTCATATAAAATGATATCGCACTCTCAAATTACACTTTCAAATATTTTTTAATAACATTCGCGACTAGTATTTTGATTTCATTAGCTAGGTAATAATAAAATGTATTAATCAAGCATGAAATAGAAAAATAGCCAAGAGATTTTAATGTTCAAAATTTCCAAATATTTAAAACGCATTTAATCCAGAGATAAAAATTTATATAAGTCATCTTATTTTCATATTTTCTTTTCATTTCTTTCATAAAAATTATCTTTAAAGAAAAGTTGCGTCATCTCTTAAGTGGATACTCTATTGATGCATCTAGTCTTCAATATAATCTTAATTATTAAAAAGAAAACAAAATAAATTTCAAATTATCACCATCAGGAAATTTATAAACTCATAAATGGTTCTAATTAGTCGCAGGAAACTGTCATAAATTATTTATTATTATACAACATCTCCCATCATTAGAAGAAAAATATCGGCTTAAAATTGGCTAAATCTGTCATTAAATATTAATATGATTATAATGAAATGCATTTACAATTCCCGCAGTAGTGGTATTCGCGTGTCGTTATCGAGGAATAATTTATGCAAGCGTGATTGAAAATTCCGCAACTAAATTTTCCATGAAATTTCAATCTACATAGAACTGATATTCATTCAGTGATTCAGATCCGCGATCGCTGGGGAGAAATAATATCCCTTCGAATTTAATTCCCATAGCGACCGATTCAAAATATCCACGGTGTCCAAAATGTCCCTCTCCGCTTTCATGAAAATAAATTCCGATATTTGTATGTTGCCCGTAGGTGGGATGGCTACGGGCTGAGGATCAGACGATATTATCAATGGGCGATCGCAGAGTCACTCAGTCGCCTCGTTTCTTCGTTACTCTGGAAAACGCCAAGACGAAGAATCAGACGCAGTCGCGGGAAGACGAGGAGGCCACTTGGCAGCTACATATCCGGGGGCTGAAGGAGGCCGACCGTGGTTGCTACATGTGCCAACTCAACACCAAACCCATGTTAAGCCAGCTGGGATGCGTGGATGTCCTAGGTATGCCTAATTGCACGCGTTTACGCGTGCCGCATTCCGGCCGACCAAGGTTTGCGGCTGTTGGCAGAGACGTCACGCACGCACGCATTGCGTTTCGATTAGGTCTGGGCCATGCTTTAGGACCGGAAAGTATGCGTGCCTCGCCACTGCAACGGCGCGCCTGAATAGGTCGTTGTACACGTGTGCAACATCGCGCATATCGCACAACACGAAGATTTCTCGTTGCACGTGTCATGCAAATAGCATGAGTAAAATATATTATATACGCTACCATGTCTTGGTAATTTATGACTGGAAGAAATTTAATTGTGGCTTTCAAAAAAAATGTTAAAATCTTGATCTCTGAATTGATTTAGCTTGTTTAATCATGGAATTTAAATGATTCAACGTACGTATGCAAAGTATTTAAACCGGTTTAATTTGATTAATAAAAAGTTCACCTCATTTTATGTGTTCTCTTACAAGACATAATATCGATTCTACAAGAGTTAGTTTACAAGGTGCATTATCGGTCATATAAGAAATGCTAACAGCCGTGCTTTAATTTATAGTTTAATTAAACACGATAACGAAGTTCGAAAGTCTATCTGGCGTAAAGTCTATCAGCGTTCACTGACTGCATCAGTTGATGGATGTTCGTACTTTGTAGCTCATGTGCAAACGTCAAACTAGATTATTTCTATTAAATTTACATTATCCTTTTAACGTTAATTATGCTGGCATAACACGCGCATCTTAATATTAAGTTGCTTAGCTTCCATATCAACAATATCCCAGATATAATATTATATTCCATAATCGGAATTGCTGTAAGCTTCAATTTTGGCGGAAAACGCGCTCGTTGCGCTCTACTGCGGTATCATGAAATGCACAATTTCACTTTTATATCGCGCCCACGGGGTCGGTAGTAGCTCCGGCCGAGTAATATCATCTACTTTGTGCACGGGGACGAGCCGAAGGATGAGCAGGGAATATGTTCTATCGTGTGCGTGCGTGCCTTCGTTCATCGTCGGATACCAAAAAGCGGGCTCTTGCTGTCGAATGGAATGAAATTCCTTTGTGTAGTAACACGGGAAAATGCCATCCTCTTTTTTTTTATCGGCCGATTTGTCCGTATGTGTGTAACGTATGTTATACTGCGACATACTTGTGTCCAGCTTGGATCTTTGTAATTGAAACGAACCGAACGACTTTTCGAATTGGACGGAATTCTATCAGGAGAGCTTTTCGTCCTTCCTCCTTGAAGGAAGAAGGATGTCCCGCTGATATTTCATTTCCATCGAGTGCAACGGGAATGATCCTAAGATGATTTTACGATCGTGTTTGCCAGTGTCATCGGCAACGTCTCGGTTAAATCGAGTTAAAATATGGCAATACCGATTCTTTATAGTCCACGTATCCTTGCCAGTTTTCGTTCGCGAAATTTCATCCATGGTCGACAACAGATGCCAAAGAGACTTATATGAAGATATATCGTTTCGCACAATACACGCGCGCGATTTCGATCCGATTCATAAATTGTTTCGCCATTGTAGACGCGTGTCAGATAAAATTGCATCATAATCCTCGGACACATGTTGAATTTGTGATAAATGGACGGGCGTGCGATATCGAGAAAATTCATTTCATTTTACAAAGGCCGCGTGGTAACGTTTAGTATACTTTACATTCTATATACACACAATGCAGTTCAGAAAACATGTTTGTTATACAACTGCTTTATTATTCTTTTGTTAGCAAGCTTTACATGTGCTTCTGATGTCCAACCCGATACACAATGCAGTAACACAATGAATTACGACAAAATATTAGCTCAAAAGAGTTTTATAATTGTTTTTTTTTTTCAAGCGCAATTAAAATATATATGATAGAATTAATTTTCCATATTGTATTTTACGAGACGGATTACAATTGCAAAGCTTCAAAAAAATACGTGAATAACAGGAAATTAATTTCACAGCAGACATAGAATTATATCGATGCAAATATTTTTATTTTACAATCATAAATTTTTAACAACGCATCCTTCATAGTCCTCGTAATTCACTATGATATATATTGCATGTTATATGGATTAGATAGTTTAATTTTTCGTAAAATAATTTGTCCTTATCATGGATCAATGTTTTTTGCTTATTCTAATTTAAAGTACTTTTATTCAACAATGTATTTTTTATATATTTTTATTTTATATTGATAAATAATATGTAATAATTGCATATAACAAATATATTTTGCATTTTTATAACAAACATATTTTGCATTTTTTTCTGTGTTGAGTTTAAGAAGGCTTATTGTACATTTTATTGTGCATAATTTTCAAATAAAAAATATAATATGAATGTATTGCACAAAAATCAGATAATTAAAATATGAAGGAACTTTTCAACTTTTTCTCTATGTGAAATATGAAGGAACTTTTTCTCTATGTGAGCGAATAAATGTGTGACATTTGGCGTAATTGTTAAATGTGATTTTAAGCATTTCATTATCTTGCCTCTGATTTGACAAGATTATCTTTTCTTTTTCAGTGCCACCCGACATCCTGAATTCTGGCACCTCGGACGGCGAGGTTTCCGTTCTCGAGGGCGAGAATGCCACATTGTCGTGCAAAGCATCCGGACGGCCACCGCCTCGTGTATTCTGGCGACGCGAGAAAAGTGATTTCATACTCGTGAGGGGACCTCACGATCCGTTGATACAAGGTAAGATATCGTCTTTATATTCCAAGGATCCTAAAGTTGTCACTCTCGGTGATTCTCGTAATCATCGTCTCTTTCTGACAACGACGTGCCACATGAAATACGCTTTGTTTTGGAATAACATGTCTCTCTTTTTGCGAGGAAATCCTCCCTTCCCTACGCGAATGTTATTTCCTATCTATTTACGTCATATAATCCTATCGCAGATTTGTTCAGTTGATTTATACAAAAGATTTATGACTTTATACGCTCAGTAAATAATAAATAGCAAATTTTATTTAAAATGTAGAAAGAGAGCATTTCTTTCTTGTATCTCTTTGTCTTTTAAAAATATTTACATATAAGATCTCAATCATCTGTATTTTAATTTTTAAAACAGATATTTTCTACACCTCTTCGCAATTAAAATAATCCCAGTAATTAGATGCATCTCGATGAAATGAATGATCGTTTTAAAGGGATATGAAAATATCGTAAATTCATACACGTAGGTGATTCCGATCGAAAGCAATTACGACAGAACACGTTCCATCGAATAGAGATTAGTTTATCCGCGATGACTTTCAATATCCTGCGAGCACGTCGAGTCACGCTGCATTTTGCAAGACATCTGCACTCGAGGAATTTCGTATAGTCGCGATAGATCGTACAATGCGAATAAATCGCGATCGGTTAAAAAAAATATTTGCAACATCAGAGTGCCAATGGCTCGTGCGGAATTAAAAGAGTGTGCTTGTATAACCATTGACATTCAATTGGAATGATTGACATCGTGCTGGAGAGACAAATTTTAGCAATCAATCGATTTCCGATACATTTCCCCGTATATCTCGATATATAACGCGACATATTATTTATGTGTGTTTCAATGAAAGACTTTTTTCATAAATTCAATCTACACAATCTCATTCATCACACACAGATTTTTTTCAGAATCTTATAATTATTTTTTCAAATCTCTCTAATTATTATTCTACACATTTACTATAATACTACATGTATACTATCTATATATTTTTTCTTAATTTTTATAGGAAAAAAGTTTTCTTCAAATACGTGTGTATATCATGCTTTATAAAATTGTGCTTCATAAAATTGTGTAAATATCTTATATATATAAACATTAATAACATATAATTGAAGATCGTGATATTATATAACATAAATATTGACATACATAAATATGACGTACATTCTGTTATAATATAATGGAAAGAATTGTATATTTTTTCCCACAAGAAATAGAATTTTGTTTCTGTCATGGTTTAGTTTAATGAACGTTAACGAAAATCTGATAGATGATAATTAAATTCTGAAATAAAAAGACGTTATTTCCGTATATGACAACGCAATCAAACATTCGACAATTATTAATTTAATGCAAGTTACTGCAGCGTTGCACGAATTCGTCAACTGTCAGCACAAATCACGCATCTTGCATTTTCGATCGATCTTATTAAACTTCTGACACATTTTATCGCGAACATGGAACGACACGTTCCACATGTGATTTATGTCGGCCGTTCGTTCGATAATAATATAATTCATTATCTTTCAGTTATTCGAAAAGCATGTCTACTGCACATATACGCTAATGCAATTTTTCATTGGATAATGGAAAATGTAAACATAATAGAAGTATGAATTTTCAATTTTCGTTATATCTTCTCGTCTTTATAATTATATAAAATATACTTTTATAAAATAATATTTAAATATATAAGCTGATGTTATAAAGATTCTTATAATGAAATATGATTTTTCAGATTAAAGATAAATTTGCGTATATCTCTTAATTTTAAGATAAAAGTATTAATACAAGCTTGCCAGCACCAATGACAATAAATTCCAGCGACAAAGTTTGTTGCAAATTCATATTTTGCTTATCATTGCGTATCCCGGAAGACATATTTCGCGAATAATTACTCGGGCCGCGTTAACACGTCGGCTTATATGGTCAACGAGGGAGTAGGTTTCAACGAGATATTCATACAACGTACGATTTCTAGTGGACAACCTGTCAGGCGAAAAGCTAGAATTAACCAGAGTAGACAGGAGGCAAATGGGAGCTTATCTTTGCATAGCGAGAAACGAAGTGCCTCCGGCAGTCAGTAAGAGGGTTAATCTAAAAGTAAATTGTGAGTACTTGACAATGTTTTATAGCATTTGCTCTTGACGATGTCAAAATCAAGATTAGAATCAATTGACAAACGGAAAACTCTGTTTATTCAATTTAACGTCTATTTTTTAAACAAATAGAGAAGACGTATTTTAATAGTATTACTATAGTATTACTATGACAAAAACTGTGATCGAAAGTTAAAAAAATACGACATTTATATTAGCAATTAAATTAAAATTTAATAACATTTTCTCTCTCTTTCTCATGTGAATACAATAATGAATAATACCATATATATATCTCTCATTTTTCCCATTGCTCTTCAGTCCCTCCTAGCGCAAAAGCACCCAATCAGCTGCTCAGTTCTCCTCTGGATACAAACGTGTCACTAATCTGCTTAATCGAGGCTTATCCCAAGACGATTAACTTGTGGATGCGAAAGGAACAAGTTATTATGAGCGGGTATGTGCTGAGACAATATTGACAATTTGATCTACCGATTTCCGGGTATATAGTTCGAAGCCGTTGTTCGACAATCTCGTTGACGATAGGAGACAAAATCGTTCCACACCGCTTTTTGCTAAATCATGCCCGACCTCGGTCACTGTAATTTCGTATATCGATCCCGACGACGATCCGATTATTCTAACGAGATGTCGAATAACGGAATCTATTTACCCTATCTCGGACGTTAAATCTAAGTGATATGTCAATGTAGAGGCAGGTACGAAATCGACGAGCGAGGAGACCCCGACGAGGAATGGAAGACGACGATCGTGTTGAAGATAAGACGCTTGAAGAAAACGGATTTGGGTGAATACACGTGCTCAGCCTCTTCAAGTATGGGAAAAGCCGAAGCGACTCTCAGGGTGTATGGTGAGTTTTACACGTATAAGACCGAATGAATATGTTATTCTCTTTGAGGTAGAAATTCGCGCGATATCAGGTTTATAGTTACATTAAATTTGCGATTAATCGAAATTCTTTCAGTATCGATAAGTATTATCGCGCGTTGCAAATAAAGATTAACGGAATTTTGATAACACAATTAGATAACATCATAAGTATTTCATTAATTTTTTTCAATCAAACAAAAATTTGAATAACGTGTGAATATTATAATTATTGTTGATAGAAAATTTAAAACCTTAATATGTGATTCAAATAATGATAAAATACATTTAAATTTTCCATCGCAGTTTTTATACGTAAAAAATCAATAGAGGTGTTGTAAAAAACATACATGAAAGCATCTAAAAAAGAGAGGCACGAAAAGCAGAGAGTTTGGTTTCATCCCTGCCCATAATTCCTGTATATATTTTCAGAGATCGAACGCGCAACCGTACCCAGTCGCGTCACGACCAATAAGCGAGTGAATCAAGGCAAGTCAAAGTCCGGACAAGGGACGATGGGCAATCGGCTTTTCCATCAGCAGGTGAGCACACCGGCGATGCAGAAGAGCACCGCGCGATTGATCTACAACAACAGATACGCGACCACGTCGACTACCGTGGACCCGCGCGCTTCCTTAATCAAGGACAATGATAACGCTTTCAAGCACAACAATCGCAAGGATAACCAGCAGAATCTCAAGGATCGCAGCGACGCGTCTACAGTCTTTGCCAGCAAGCGGATTGTTTTGCCACTTTGTCTCATATTGTTCTCAACAGTGCGATAAGACACAAGATGACGACGATGATGGCGACGAGGGGAGCTAATCCGCCGTAGCAAGAATTACTTTGTGAAACAGTATGGAATCGCGTGATAGAATCGATCCGATAGGATGACGAGGATAAGCGAAAGAAAGGGAATCTCGCAATGTGAAAGGAATGATACTTATTGTTAGACAACGACGACTACATAAGAGACATAGGAGTCTGGGGTGACAAAGAACTGCTCGTTTTAATTATAAATCAATGTTTTTAATAGCATGAGAAAGATCTTAGAGAAAGATGCGAACATTTGGACGCTTTTACGCGAGACAGAATAGGGGAATAGGGGAAAGTTCTGATCCGCTAATGCGAATGAATGTTGCCCAAGATAACCACTGCGGATTTTTTCAGAAAGACGCTTACGAATGTATTTTTTATGACCCTTTTATCCGTTGCTAACGTGCAAAAAGTTCGGGGACAAAATGTGCTTTTTAATTAAATTAAATATAACCTGAATATTTTTAATTCTCGGATAGCGAGACGCTTGACATAATTTATTCAGATTTATTAAAATATTTTTTTAATTTGGTTTCAAAATAAATTTTATTTATTTATTTTTATTGTATTAATAATATTTTGCATGTTAATATCAACATAAAAATAAATATAAAAATAAATATAAAAATAAATAAAAAATAAAAATAAACTATAATTAATAATATAACTATAATTTTTTTATAATTTATAAAAAACATTAACGTCTTAGAGATTTCAATTCCAATCAATACTGTCCGAGAGTTAAGAAACAAAAAAGAGAAATTTTTATTATTCAAAGGACAAGAATGATAATTTCTCTTTCTTTTTATGGAATTAATAAATAACTTGAAGTAATTTTATAATATTAGCGTCAAAAGCCTTATATATGCAGGGTGTCTTTCTCAAATGAACTATCACTATCGTTAATGAAGGATAATTCACAAAATTTAATTGCTTATATACGAATCGTAATCGCAATGTGGATATCTCAACGATAGCGATGATTCAGTTAAAGTGAACATCCGTTATGTTGCCATTGTAATATGTCTTCATCGATAAATCACACTTTTATGAGCAATTGTGCGATCGTACCCAAATGCAGACAAATAATTAGCATACTAATTTGTATGTAAGAAATAAGACGATAAAATACCTTTATTTATTGTGATGTAAGAAAGCAAATTGCGATATTATACTTGGCATCTTAGCGATAGTTATCTCACGTCATATCCGAAATAAGATTCATATCCATAGCGCATATAATAACAAACACTTTTTAGAAGGATATTATAAGTATCATACTTCAGTTATTTTATGTATTTTTTAAATTACTTGTAGACAAATACTGTACCTTATAAGTCGGTAATGAAGCAAGATCACATTATAGATATAGTATAAGTGATTGATTGCGAAGAATGACCGATATATTGCTTTTTAGATAAAACGCGTTATAAATTGGCTTTGTCATGCCAATTTCTGTATAGGATATGCTCATCTTAAGAACTGCATATGTACATTTCAGTGATGATATATATAAATGATGGAATATATATATATATATATACATATCTGTGTACGTCATTATATATAAACTTATCAGGAATTGACAACAAATACTTTTGTATGTATTTTAATGTATTATAATTTTTAGCAATGTTACACGGATTATTTAATATCCTTTAATAGTTATTTTTAATGTTCCTCGCAAAACTGCAAACTATATCTTGTTCTGTAATTAAGACAACTGTGCAAAGCGATATCAACAAAATGTCATAGAGAGTTAAAGTTGTAAGATTTAAGAGAAAAATAATTTGATAATCTAATAGTATTGCAATATTTATCACAAAATATGGAATGCAAGTCTTAATTACATCGCGTGATTTATATTGTCATGAAAAATGTAGCATATCCCACACAGAGCAAAAATATGTTAAATGTACCTATTCAATGAAACCTGTATATCACAGAATGCTCAATATAATAACTTTACAATAACTATATTAAAAAAATATTGTTGTTTATAGGATGGAAAATATATTATGAGGATACAATGAGAAAATGTGCTCAAATTGGATAATATAGCTTTGGGGAAAAAACGTGTTGACAAATAAGAAAAAAAAATTATCATACATTTAGCAATGACGTTCGTTTTGACTACAAGTCTAGCTTAAACGAATGTATTTTTATGTATTATTGAAACGACAAATATAGCTGTTTGTCACCAAATGAATATCAAAATTGTTTTTTATTCTCACCTCTGGCCTTTATACATAAATACATTAAATTGTGGGAATATATAAATGCATGGACCAAAATGACTCCCATAGGAATATTATGACCAAAACAAAATACTAATGGCCATAAAGACGCAACAAAAAGCTACATATGGACTTTTTCTTTCACCAATCCTAGCACATTTCCAAAAAATACCCTGAAAACTAAGAACAAAAATTCAGTAAATATATATATAGATTATATATATATATATATATATATATATATATATTATGTATGGATATATATATATATACATATATATATATATTTACATCCGCTTAATATGAATTTTACATACCCAACCTTTCCCAGACGCTTGTCGAATAAACTAGGGACCATTGATCTGATGTAGGTACAGGAACATATCAGTAATAGTATTACAGCCACCAGGCTCTGAAAATTAAATATGGCAGACTGCCAAACAAGATTATATTAGTATGTTTCGAAAATGTTCATCTCTTATTTATAAATTCTTCGCATACATTAAGTGATGCAATAATATTATTATTTATATTAACACCGATAAAATATTAATCATTATTTTTCAAACAAATATTTATCCTTTTCTAATAATAATAACACTTAATATATACAATACATTTAGGAATTTAATATTTAGGAATTGAACTCCAAGTTTAGTGACAGTCAGCTTTTCACATATAGGTTATATACGATCCATTAACTTAAAATGTCATAATTCGGAAATTTTTATAATTACCATAACGTAGGATCACGCAAATTATCCAATTCGAAAAATCACAGATATAGTAAATTTGAAAAACAGCAGACAAATTGCTCCAAATTCTCTCATGTAAACAAATCTACGATTTCTAAGTCACTTTTGCGCATAACATACCGCGCATGGCACTCATGGCAGTGCCATGACGTCACCTTACGTAGAAAATACAAACGTCGCAGAGACAATAATTGCAATACGATAATCGAATGATCTCTTGATTCTTACTTTCACATCTTTCAAATTAATAGACATAAAAATGGCAATCAACAATTCGTTCTATTGAACATTTCAAGATTAGACATATCGAGAAATGTCCACATAGTGTACAAGGAATAATACTCTTTTTCTCATTTTTTGAAATAAATATTGTATATTTTAAGATGTATCATAGAGATCGAATATCAAATAAATTGTCTTAGTCTTTTCTTTTAAATTGTATTTTATTGCAGTGATAGTGTTGTTATATAAATAGTAGTGTTATAATATATAAAATAATATATTCATCATCGTAGTAATATTTATATAAAATAATTCGTTAAATATGATATCAAGAAAAAACGAGACAAAAAAAATAATTTTTTCGAGCAGATTCGACATTTACACATCGAAATATGTAAAATATATTAATTTAACAAAGTCGGAGAAGCAACTCTAAGAATATTTATCTTTTTCTCAGCATTTCTGATACGCTTATTTACAATATTTATTTTCCATGACATAATTTTTCAATAAAATTTTATTAATATGTAACAATACCTGTGGGTGTGCAGCCATTAGCAGAGTTCACTTGATGAAGTTGTCACTGTTTAGTCTATACACAAATATATACAAAATATATATCGCCCGATATTTTTCTCGACACTCCCGATATTTTTTCCGACACTTCCGATATTTTTTTTTGACTCGCCCGACATTTTTTTCCGATACTGTCGTTACTACACTTTACGCGATATTTATTTTCATTGTCAATATAACTTAAATTCATAATTCAGATGGGACAAATGAGGATCTTATGATCATAATATCATACTAGTAATAGTGTAATGGTTATGATCACTTTAGCATTCGCGACATTTCTCAACAATGCTTAATCGATTCCTTCAATGCACAATCACGATTATTTCCATCACAAGTATTGGCGCCACAAATAATTACGCACAAAATACTGATGTAAACGAACGCGGAAATGACTAAACATTTCAAGTTATGCGAGGATTGGTCCGATTCCGACATTCCGAGTTTTATCGCGAATTAAATATGGCTGTCATGACGTAGTTATTTGAAGTTGGTTTCTATTAAACACAATATTAACGCATATTAAACTCGTGATATATATGCGAACAAATACATAACATTAAATTTGCTCCATTTAATGCGCTTTAAAGCGACAAAATTTTTGGTTCTAATTAATTTATTCAACATTCGAAACGAAATAATCTTAAATGAAATGCATTAATATCTATTAGTTCATGTAGAAAAAACGCGAAAATATTGTGAAAAACAACACGAATCAACACAATAACAAATCAATTTTTCATAAAAAACGATAAGTTGATTAGTTATGATAAATAATATTTTCGGGCTATTAATATTATTATACTTTAATATTATAAATTGCGTAATATATGATGCAAATGAGAGAGAGAGAGAAAATGGTTAAAAACTCGGACTAACCCTCGCAAAATAGTATCGCGTACTGAGCATTAAGCTGCGTATTAAGCAAAAAACCGCATATTTTGAACAGAGCGAGAGTCTATGCGTGGAGGGGGAAGCGAGCCCGGCCGCTTTGTTTACAATACACGGTAGCGTTAATCTGTTTAGGAATGTGACGAAGGTGAGAGAGAAGACGTTCCTCGCACCGTAATTTTTGTAAAAATTGAGATAAGATAAAACACAGGTGTCTGTACATTGTATCTATTGTGTCTATCAACTGTCGAGACTCTCTAGAAAATCTATATATTCCTAATTAACTGAAATATATAAAATACTACTTATTCTTACGTTTAATATTTTTCTGGAAATACGATTTCTACGAAATAAATTTTGCTAATAAAATGATGAGTACCCGATATTGAAATTTGAATCCTAATTTGAAATTAGTATCACTTGATCAACGTCGTACACATACCGCATCCACAGTAAATCCACGAAAGACTTGGTTTATAGAGGATTCACACTATGGCCAACATTCACTATCCACTGAAAAGATTTATAGGGACAAAATTCTCATTGTAACTATAATCTCTAGAATATCTATTCTCCTATTGGATATCGGAATACATACATAAATCGAACAGTCCGCGTAATGTAAATCCTCCAGTCTTTGATTTTATTTCAGGAATTGCCAGCCCTGCTGGAGAAGACGAAAATAGTGGGGGCGAAGCGAACGGCCTACCGCCGAATGTTTTGCCCTATTGTTCAGGGATGTCGCGAAAAATGATGGATTTCTGTTGAATTCGAGCTAGGTAAAGCGGGATCCGAGCGGTGGAAATGTGTTTTATGCTTATCGAGATGGGACAAGTGCTTTGCGACGAGCGCAGACTGCGGTAATACCGGTTAAAAACGTCGAGAAACTCCACAGACGACTCTTTGTCATGGACATGCAAGCTTCTAATGGTACGCACTTGTTTTCGTATGCGGCATAATTCGAACGCGACCGGCCGATCGTTTCTCTTCGACAATACGACAGTCCGCGGATCAATCTTGGCATTTATCTGTTTGCTGAGCAATCACGAGGTTCTTAGACGCGCGAGAGGATAGGAAGGTTAAATAAAAGAATTGCTCTCTCCAAGGTTTCTAGCGTCGCTTTTCGTTAATCTAAACGCTAATAGAAAATTTACATAAAAAAGCGCGGTAATACCGCGACAATCTCGATAATGATTTTACGATTATGCATTTCACGATAAATATGCAAAGAGGAAATTATAATATGCAATTTTAAGGTTCATTAAAATCACATCAACATCCAAATATAGATTGAGTAATCTTTAATTGATAATATCATTCATGTCAATAATTTTATACAAGGTTTTTTATTCAGATGGAATTTTCCACTTTTAAATGTAATATTGTATTTCTCTCTATGAACAGAATTCACACAGAATATTTTTATATCTTTAATAATTCAGGTAGTAGTAACAATTGGTGAATCATGTAAATATGGATATGTATATGACTACAGTGTATACCTCCATCCCTGGATTGCCTGAACAACTAGGGATGGTATGGATGGGAGATATGATGGTGGGAGAGCCCACTCATGAACTCATGCTGGATCCTCGTCAAGCTGAAAGCCCCTTCTTCTCCCATGGTTCGCATCCATATGAAGATCTTAGAAATCATCACATTGCTCCCATGGTACGCTATATACCACAACAATTCCCAAATGAATGTTCAGAACCTGATGAAGCAATGGAAGCTGTAGATGCTCATGAGATACAGCGAGTGAGTCTTGTGTCCTTGCTCAACAAAGAAGAATCCATAATAATCTATAATTTATATATAAATTTATATATATATATATATATATATCTTATATATATTTTTTCTTTTCAATATTACAATTTTTTTGCTGTTAAAGGAATATGATTCTCAGCCTGAAAGGCCAGAAATGAATGAATACTTAACATTAGAAGATTATATTGGTGATGAAGAACGAGAACAAATCGTGAGCAATGCAGCTACTCAAACAACTCAAGACAATCGAAATCGAAAAATAAAGCCTATAAAACATCCTGGACTTGTTTTAAAAACACCAATTGCTTATCAACCTCATACAGATCTAAATTTTATTCCTATTCGCAAAGATGGTATAGGTAAGTACAATCATCAAAAATAAAGCATATCTTTAAATTTGTATATGGAATGTATACCGCTGATTAAAGTGATAGGTTGTAAAATTTACTGAAATACAAGTTATTCAAAATATATTAAATACAAGTTTGTTCAAATATATTAAATAGTATTTCATATAACAAATAAAGATATATAAATTTTAATGTTTCAATAAATTAAATTAATAATATATGGAATGCGTGTGTGTTTAATTTGAAAAGAAATGGAATTTAAGATAAATAATGGAATGTTATAAGGTGTATTTTTTGAAAAATAAAAAGAAACGGTTCAATTAAAGATAAAATACTAAAAATAAAAACAAAGATTTGAATTTTATGTAAAATAATTGACCAAGCATATTTTTTCTTATAATTTTAAATAAAATAATTGGAATTCTTATATCATTGTTTATTTGATCATACTTATCAGTTTATCTGTATTCAGATTTATATATATTTTACAGCTGTTTGTGAAAAATGTGGTGCTATTGGAGTAAAACATGCCTTTTATACAAAGGAGCGTAGATTTTGCAGTAGAGCATGTGCACGTTCTTCAGAACATACAGCACCTACTGCCGATTCGACGTATAGTCCATCTCATTCAGTGGATCAACCAGTATCTGGAAAGCAATCTCAAATATCTCTTAATGAAACAAAAGCATCGACAGATGTAAGTTAATATTGAATTCATTTGAAGATAAAGAAAACTGTAATATTTCAATTTTTCAGGTAATTATAAAAGAAGAAATAGATATCAAGGAACCTATCGAATCAGAGAAAGAAAAAGTTAAGTTAGAGCCAGTAATGCCCGAGGATTTACCAATTAGAAAAAAGAGAACAGCAGAAATGGCAGGTTCTTACGATTGGACACCACAGCTTGTTGAACCTGGATTTTGTGCTGCACCAGTCTCTTGTTTTAAACATGTTAGTTTTTTTGAAAAGTTTTATTTTATATTTTACATATATAATTTTAGAGTAGAAAAATATATTTCAAGGATATATATATATACATATATATATATATATATATATATATATATATATATATATATATATATATTTGCAACAATTTTTTTAAATGCATGTGACAAAATACTAGTTTCTTTTCTATATATATTTGTTGTAATCGAAATATTTATCCTATATTTACATCTTTAATTCTTATTCTTAGGCTCCTATATCTGAAATATGGGATAATATCACAGTGGGTATGAAAGTAGAGGTAGAAAATACCGATTGTGATGAAGTATGCGAGGCTTTCCCAGATTCGTTTTGGGTTGCAACTGTATTACGTATATGTGGATATAGAGCTTTGTTAAGGTATGAGGGTTTTGGACACAATGCAGATAAAGATTTTTGGGTGTCGCTTTGTTCTAATGACATACATCCTGTTGGTTGGTGTGCCACAATTGGAAAACCTCTTATTCCACCTAACAGTACGTAATCGAAATTATTTCTAACAAAATGACAATGCGCGAGCTAAAAGAAATGCATTGAAAAAAATAATTATTAATTTTAAAAAAAGTTTGTGTGAGAAAAAGATCTGATGCATCAAATCATTTTTGCAGCAATTGCAAACAAGTACAAAGATTGGAAGGACTTTTTAATGAGACGATTAACTGGTGCAAGAACATTGCCAACAAATTTTTACAATAAGGTGAACGATAGTATGAAATCTCGTTTTCGATGTGGGCTTCATTTGGAAGTGGTAGATAAAAACAGAATCTCACAAGTGAAAGTTGCGACAATACAAAAAATTGTTGGCAAACGTTTGCATGTGAGATATTACGATTCTTCTCCGGAAGATAATGGTTTCTGGTGTCACGAAGATTCACCCCTTATACATCCCGTCGGTTGGGCAAAGAGAATAGGACAGACGCTAGATGCATATCCTGAATATTTGGATAGAATTTCTAAATCAAAATTATCCGAAGACGACGCAACGGAGAACCTTTTTCATGTGCCAAAGAATCACATGCATCTTGGATATACGTTTAGGGAAGGAATGAAAATAGAAGCCATCGATCCGCTTAATCTTTCGGCTATCTGCGCGGCAACAGTTATGCGAGTTTTAAAGGAGGATTACATTATGATTCGCATCGACACTTATGACGAAGACGCAAGTGGTGCCGATTGGTTTTGTTATCATTCATGTTCGCCTTGTATTTTTCCAATCGGCTTTTGTTCCCAACACGGTTTACCATTAACGCCACCAAAAGGTTATGATCCTACTACATTTACATGGGATGCATATCTAATGGAAACCAATACTGTACCCGCTCCTATACAGTTGTTTAATTGGGTAATTTTTCTATATATTTTTTAATGTAGTTTGTAATTCTTAATATAGCTTGTAATTTTTGTTGCAATACCTTGCAATTGCGAACATTTTTCCTATATTTTAGGATATTCCCCAACATGGATTTATTGAAGGAATGAGACTTGAAGCTGCTGATTTAATGGATCCTAGATTAGTTTGTGTTGCTACTATTACTAGAGTGATTGGCAGATTATTAAGAGTACATTTTGATGGTTGGGAAGATGAATATGATCAATGGTTAGATTGTCAAAGTCCAGACATTTATCCCGTTGGATGGTGCGATCTTGTCGACCACAAATTAGAAGCACCACGAAGTATACTCATTAAAAACACTAGTCCTACTGGTACATATTATCATATATGTTTATGCATATATCTTGTTTAGACACTGTTTAGGATAAATTAAACATGTATACCATAAAAATACATTTTTATAGTGAAATCACCAAGAGGCCTTAAACGTAAAGCTAAGAGAAAATTGAAGAAAAGTAGTAAGATGTTTTGCTCCAAAAATATACTACCTCGTCAGAGCGAACGTATTAGTATGGCTCGCGAACGCGGGCGAGAATTGGAGCCTGCTCAAGGAACCAAAATTGAGAGAGAGCGTGACTTAGAGAGTTTACCGGAACAGAGAAGCAGAGAGCCGGAAACAGCGGAAGAACCGGTTGGTCCCGATCAAACATTACCCAGTCCTACTACTGGTCAAGGCCAAGCATTGAGTGACACACAAAGCGAAGTACAGAGTCCTCCACCACCTAAAGAAAGAACTGCTACGTCATACATCAATGTAAATAATCTTTGTATATAAATGTAATCCTCAAATACACCAAGTAAAATTACCATAAATGAAACTAAATTCTAATTTATTTGATTCTTATAGGTTACTTCAGCAAGTAGTAAATATATACCAAGACTAGCAGATGGTATACAAAAAAGTTCGGAATCTGGTGATCTAGTGCCATCTGAATGGAATGTTTTTGATGTTGCACAATTTCTCCGTGTTAACGATTGTGCAACATATTGCGATAATTTCAGTAAACGTAAAATAGATGGAAAGACATTGCTGACTCTCACTAAGGACCAAATAATAGACCTAACAGGTTTTAAAGTTGGACCTTCTTTAAAAATATATGATTTAATTCAGCAATTAAAAATCAAAGTGAATCCAGCTCAGGAAAGATTGAAATTAGGATTGAAGAAATTATTATAACAAAACTAGTATATAGTTAGCGCTATAATTAAGTTCCATCATTATGCAAATTAGACATGGATTTACAGGTAAGGCATGTGAAATACTGGTAATTAAAATCATTTCTATCTCAGTATAGTTACATACATGTTATTTGTTACTTTATTAATGTACTAAAAAAGAATGTTTATATGTAGATTCTTTATAGTGTCTAAAACAAAAGCGTAAAATTTAGATGCCATATAATCTATTATGAGTTAAAGGGGGAGAGGGGAGAATATTCCATTCTGAAAAGCAGCTGTGATTTTCTTTTATCCTTGTGTACATATAAATTCATAAAAAAATAATATTTAATTAATTAATTTATTAATTTTTAAAATGAAGATTAAGATAAAAAATATATAAATCTGTATTGAACTTATTTAAGCATTAAATATGAAAATATTGTACACAATGTTGCAAGTAGAATATTAAAAAATTTGTTATATTATCAAAAGGATATTGAAGTTAAGATGCTTTAAATATTCATTTTATATATATATTAATAATTACATATAATTATTTTTTATTTAATTTATTTTTATATTTTATTATCTATGAAAAGAAATAATATTAAAATATAGGCAACATCTGTAAATTTATAAGACATCAAATTTGCAATAAAACAATTACATTATAAGAATCTGTGATTGAAAATCTTATTAACTCAATAATTTTATTAATGAATAATTCTAATAATATATAATACATTTCTTAATATACATATATACATATGAACGTAAATAAACTATAAATTTTACATAAAAACTGCATTCTAGAATGGATTACTCTCTCTAAAAGACAGCATCTAATTTTTTTTATAATACACACATTGTAAAAAAGATTTAAAATTAACATTTTTTTTATAATGATATCATACATTTTATATATATATATATATATATATATATATATATATATAAATGAATCTAAATATATATATTTATACCTGATACATATGTAAGAAAATTTTGATGTATGTATATTGCACCTATACATATTCATAAATATGTGACATATTTTCTGTAATATGTTTTTTACTGAAATTTTTCTTCCAACCACAGCGTTATTTGTAAATCCATGCTGCCACATTGCACTGCGTTAATGACATGGATGCATCAGCCACAAACACAAACTGGTATGTGAAGATAAATAACTTTCCTTGGATAAATAATAAATAGTAATTTTTCTTGGATAAATAAAGATAAAAATTCAGACATCTCGTATGTTGCGTATACGCTACAGAGTAAATTAATACAGATATATTAAACAGCTACACAAAGTACAAAGAACATTTTGTTTCCTTATTAATATTAAATTTTTTGAACAATAATATACAATTTTCATAAAAGAATATAATTTTTTCTATTTTAATTAATCTCTATAAATTCACTCTGTATGTACGTATGACGTATAATACGTAAATTTAAGTAAAACGAAAATTGAAAAATTAAGCGTATTTGTAGATCTTGTATATATTATATATAGCATAATGTTAGATTTAGCTCTATCTCTCTGCAAACCATGACACATGGCGCAATGCCGCACTATAAGTGGTGGCTGATGCATGAGTAGGATGTACATTATATTCATATATTGCTTAATCATCTCTATAATGAATCGAAGCAATCAGGTAATGTTAAATAATACTGCTTTGATTCTTAAATACTATTTTAGTACTATAAAGTATAGAACGTGATTATCGCCAATTATTTATTCAATAATTTGAAATCTCTGGAAACTTACGTATCTTTTATCTATGTTTTTTCAAAAGATTATATATATTTATGGTAAAAAAGCATTTCGTGTATGAATGGCCAATCAACACTGTATCGTTCTCGTGCACAAATTATTACAGAATTCTAATAACATGTTATTCATGCAAAATGAAAGAGTGAAACCTGTATATTCTCAACTATATTCGTGTGTTAAATTTCGTCTGAAAAAATATTGATCCTTGATCACAATTGAATTTTTTACTAAGAGCTGTAAAATCAAATAGTAATGTGTAGTATACAACATAACTCGAATCATGCAGCGATTTGCTCATTATTTGATTTGCTAAACATATATATATACAACATATTTTTAAAGGAATTAAAAGTTATATTTAAACTTTAATTTTAATTTATTTGATTCATTGAAGATTTTATCGATAATATTAATATGTATATAAAACTGGAGAAATTTATCACTTACATTAATTAAATTTGCTTTTATCCTAAGTAAAACATAGGATTTAATTGGATTTGACACAAAGATTATTTAATATCCAAATCTTTTTCCATAATTGTAAAAAATATATATATATTTTTATCAAATAAGAATCACACACAATCATAAGTACAAAAAAGCAATATTACTTACTATATTTTAAAGCACATACCATATATAATTTTATGCTTAAATTATAATTAACTTAAAAAAATTGACAAAATCTCTTATTTCTTAAATGTTTGTTGGTAATTTTAAACATGGCATATTTTAAAATGAAATAACTATCACGGAAACACATATGACCTTTCGATAATGCAGAATTTTTCATTATGATTATTGTCAATACTAGAGCAAACAAAAAGATATGCTTAGGAAGAGATAAATACTTATTTAGTTATATCTTATCCCTCTATATCATATTGTGTGATTTACATATCAGTTTCTAGATTTGTACTCATTGTCTTTCTTATTGTGGCATTAAACGAGAAAGTGCAACATTCCATATTTCACGTGTTTATAAAGAATGATGTAGGCTATAGAGGGTTAAGAAAAAATAAAATGAATATTTGCCAGGAAATGTAACAATTATTGTGAAACTTTTTATTAGATTATTATCAAATTATTCACAGTAAAATAGTCTTTAGGTCATAAAAGTTTGCAATTCATATATAACTCGATTCATCGCAACATTCAATTAAAAAAATCACATTTACATTTCTTTTTAGTGATACACGCTCATACATACGTGATTAGAAAAAGAAAACATTCTGCAAATTTTATTAATCGAGGTAATCTTTTAATTTCGTTTATTGTTTCCATCTCTTCATATATATTATTTCAATAAAGAAAAATAAAATTCAATATTAGAATATTATCGATAATATGAATAATGTCATATTATATTTTATTAAACATATATGGCAAAACTATTATTTTCTATAAACACGATTGTGTGGAGGAGTATTGCACATGCATATTCTTAATTAATTAATTAGATATACTTTTAAATTAATTAAATAATGAAAGATTTCCAAGTAAAATTATACATGGAATTTTACAAAATTACGCATAAGAAGCCAATTGGTATCATTTCTGCAAATATCGTTTGCTGGTAATGCAGATTTATATCGTTTGGACGATCAATTTCGTTATCGACGTAATATTGTTAATTGTAATCCCTCCCGACAGGATGTCGCGCTGATTCGCAAGTATTGTAAAGGGACGCGCACTAAAAAAAAAGTCTGATTCATTGATTTGTTTGAAATACCAAGTTCCATTCGATAAACAGCGTTCGTGATGCGATACTATTAGATGAGAGTACAGTTTGCATGCTGGAACGCGCCATAAAGCGTAGGTGTACACATGATGGAAAGACGCGTCGCGACGACCGGTGGTCTCGATCGTCGTCTACCTTCGTGTTGTCCGGCGCCTCGTAAACGGCAGCGTGACTTCGCCGAACGAGCTACGAACGACGCGAGAACGTTGGCTGTGTGCGAGCCTGCCATGTAGCGCCATACAGATGATCGGTCGTGTACGTACGCATACGTATACACGTTTACGCTCGACGAGGAGGGCGAGAGAGGGAAGGGAAAGTGGCGGGGATGCGAGTAGTCTCGCGTATTCTATGGGCGGGGCTTTAGCCAGCTGGCAGATGTTTCCCGCGCGGCCGCGTCATTCCTCTAGCGTAAACCTACGCGACGCGCAAGTAGTCCCACGCTGTGGCGCCGGATATTTCCCGCGATAGACGACCGCCCGGCCCCGGACGTTTTCACGGACGGATTTGCGGGAATCGGTGGTGCGAGATAGCGACGATACCGATCGCCGAGAGAGCCGGAATCGCGAGGACGATTCGGGAGGATGAGCTGACGTAGGGACGGGAAGGAGGGAGAGAGGATTGAAGTGAGTCGCCGCTCAGGGCAGAGTGAAGTGCGCGTTTTCCCCCCTCGAGTCGAGTGCGAGTGCGGGCGCGCCCGGCGAGGACCACGACTTTCAAGTGTTCTTATCTCGCAGGGAATTTCATCGCGAACGCGTCGTCGCGTCGCACACGCTTCGGGCGCGGATATTCGTCGCGCGTTTGACACACGCGTCGGTAACATACGTGAGTTGCGTGTCGTCCCGAACTTGTCGCGCCCGCTCGTCGTCGATGCGTGTGACGCGAGCGTAGAAATGTACTCGCGCGCGCGATGATTCAAGCGGCAACAGAACGCTCTCGTTTCCGCCTCTCCGCGTCTTAATCGGGTCGGTTGACGATTCCGAGGAAGATTCTCTCGCAGAATTGCGAGCAAGTGAACGAGAGACTCGACATTTCCCAACGAGACTGTACCGCGTGACGTGGTCGCGCGTGCTATTTTTCATACGAGTGTAACTTCAGAGTGTTGCCGGCGATCCTTCTCGCCAGTTGACATTTCGCCGGAAGGAAGCGCGGGTAAATCGGCGGCGAGTGGAAAAGTGAAGGAAAAAAAAGTGCGGAAGGGAACACCCTGGGCCTCGATCGCGCAGCGACGTTCCTGACGCCGGGCGGCGGAGTGATTCACGGCGCGTCGTGGGGGCCCTCAGCTGTTTCCCGCCAAAGATCGCCATTACAAAACGCGTTCGGGCGTTGTGTGTGCGCGCCGCGCGGAGCGTGTGGCTGTCTCGTGGACGAATCTTTGTGCGCGTCGCCGGCATCCGCTGACGAAAAGAAGGGGCTGTCGCGATACACGGCGTGTACCGAAAAAAGTGGCGAGTAACGCGTTTCCGCATATATTACATCGCGAACGGAGTATTTGATAAAACGCGCGTTGTTTGTCCCCTTCCTCCGTTCCGGTGGAGTGCGTGGTCGGTCGGGCGGGCGAGCGAGCGAACGAGCGAACGAACGACAAACGAACGAACGAATAGCCGGGCGAGGAAGAAAGGAGCGAATAAGTGCGCGAGAAAAAGTGAGAGCGATAACGAAAAGATATCGAGAGCAGCGGGACTCGTCGTCTCTTCGCAGCCGCTACGACGGCTGTCGCGAACGTGAAATTCGCTCGGCGGGACTCTCAGTGCTGCGGACCGAGATATGTCAGTGTTTGGTGGTGACGATCGGATTTTGCTCGAGGAAATCGTCGAGTCGACTGAACAGCCGGAGGTTGAACTGTGCGGGTGAGTCTTTCCATCAAATTTTCTCCTTACGAAACATATATATGCGCGATAACGATGTATACTTGTATACCCCCTACATATCGACGTACATATATACACGCGCATACCTATATACATATACTCCGTCCGCGTTGATACGGCGCGGTTATATGGCCCGCGCTTGTTACAATCGGAACGCGAGCGGGGGGACGATTGGCTCTCTCGAAAGAGAGTCGTGGCCGGAGCCGCTTATCGGCCTCAACCTGTTTGCGGGAGCGTAAACGTAGCTGCCGCCGTGGCATCGTCGGGCGTCGTCGTCTTTGTCGTCCGCGGACCGCGGGAGAGAGCGAGCCACAGCTGTTGAAGCCGGCCGGCCGGCCGGCCGGCCGGCCGGCGCCCGATGTCCGTCGCTGCCGACTGGCCGATGTGTGCGTGCGAGCGAGCGAGCGTCGCTTCCGCCGCGGCTCCCCGAAGGTCCGTTTTCCGCTGGAAACGCAGGGACGCGTAGCGCCGCGTCGCGCCACGCCGGACCGACACTCCGGCGAATCTTCTCCGCGCTTCTCTCTACGTCTACGTCTCTACGCGTTCACGCCCAACAAGCATGGCGCGCGCGCTGGCGAGCTCGCACGCGGCGGACGCGTCTCTTTCCTCTCGCGCGCGCGGGTGACATTTCTTCCATTACCGCGCGCTCTCGTGTCCGCACATCCGCATTTCGCTCTTGCGTCACGTCATTTTCATATCGGATTCATCTTTTTGATAAAGTCCTGCTCCTTTTTCTGTATCTCCGTAAGGACTGCGCGCGTATCTCCGCGCGTTGTTTAATGAACTGGATAAAGGGGGTATATGTATATATGTTTTTGCGGGTGGAACGTTATCAGATTGGAATATACATTTCAGTTATATCTCGTTACCTCTTATTTCGATTAAATAGTTTTTATCATATTTGGCGTTTTCCAAGCGATACAGCATTATTTCGATTTAGAGAGCTGGATAATAAAATGGATTCTTTTCTGGAGCTTTTTTATGTAGGTTTACCAATAAAAGAGAATACTTTTTTAAACAGGATAAATTTTCACAATTTTCAGTATTTATGTAAAAATTATATTCACATTTTTTAAATCTCTTCACGAATATTCGCGAGCTTTTTGTCATTGTATTTTTTTATCCATCCTGTTGTACGTTGTTATAATATATCAATACATAATAGTTATAAGTCTCAGAGATTCCAGAGAGAGTGTGTTAATAAAAAAATTACGTAAAATCTTTATTACTATAAAGATATAGTTATTTAAACTCAATGAGAAGCTAGCATCGCAACATTGTCAGTTCAACCAAGTATGTCGAGTCATTTTTTGCGTCTTCGTTGAGTGTACGGTGTGGCGTATGGTTTTTTGTCTCACGTTAGAGTACAACGATCGTAGAACAAAGAAGTAGGAAGGTGCAAGGAAAGTGTATTCTTTTGTGTACAGCCGAGTGACCGACAGAGCCAGAATATATATAATACATACGTGCATACACACACACGCACACATGTATCGTATATATATATAATATGTACACATGTACATAGATATATAATGCCGCCGCACGCGTTACGTAAAGCTGCCGCGTTTGTTGCACAATAATCGGTTTCTATAAATAACTCCAAACATGCCGTACTCTGGCTCGACTTCTTGTTTACATACTCATCGTCGTTGTATTTCGCTCGCTCGTTTCTCGATCGCTCTATCCTTCCCAAATCTTAAAAGCCACTTCATTCATAATATGCTTATTCTATTTATTTAAATTAAATCTATATGTTTATAAAAAATAAGATATTACTTGATGTCTCGTAATAAACTTTGCTATCTATAGATGCATCCTTGATTAACGTAGACATAATATCGTAGTGTTTTATACTGAACGTGTTGAAATATTTAATAAATCGTACATTAAATCATTCGCTCACCATCATCTAGATTATTATAATTTTAAAAAATTGAAAAATGCAAAGTAAACGCTGTATACTAAGTATTATATATGGTGTAAAATATATGAAACAGCGTACGCCATGATAATAAAATTAAATGTCACTGTTATTATTATCGAACAGATTATTACTACAATTGATATTAAGCGTAAATAAATGATTATTGTACGCGACGTACCAATGAAGTAATAATTTCGTTTCTCACGTGTGTGTAATTATATCACATTGTATCATATTGTATTATATCATTCCTATATTTCTAATTATGATGTGACAGTAGAAACGGTGACTCGTTCTTTTAAAAACACTCCTTTTATCTATTTAAATTATATAATTCATTAAACACATGTATGTTATTCTATAGTATCTATATTATGTCTTATACGATAATAAATTTTCAACTTTCTCATCGTGTTACGTGCGTGACGACATTAGGAGGAGATACTATTTCTCAAACTTCCTTTGCACATTGGAATGCATAACTTTGACATCAAAGTTAGGCGGAACGCACGAAATCACGTCAGATATGTGCTTATCTGCTAATCGCACAAATGCGATCAACATATTAAACAGTGTTTATCGTTACGTAATTAATATAATTTGCATCACCGATCGCGACAAATTTACAAGTCATATTGGTAAAATAATTCATTTTGTCTCTACATATTTCTCAGTTTTTTTTTTAATATGTATATGATAATTTAGAGAAATGTAAATTATATTCTCATATATATTACACGTTCGTTGACTTTTTCTTATAACATATAATTACGGCGATTACAATTGTAAATTAGATATCAAATATCATCCTGTTTTTAATTCCGTTTTTAATACGACAACGTGTATAATTTTTGCATTTTATATTTTTATAATCAAATATATTATTTTTCGAATATTGTGTACTATCAGGATTACATAATTTGTAATTGTATAATCCGTATAATATTATTAACATATTTTTTTAATATCATGACAACAAACAATTCAATAATACCATTCAATAATAATTCAATACTGTTCAATAATAATTTCTTGCATAATTATATAATATGCTCTTCGCATAATGAACTTATATCGCTCAGATAAAAAAAGGAGCTTGAAATGTCTAAGTAATATTTATCAATGCGAAATGATTGCGCGATGTTGTATATATCTCGAGATGAAGCGTTAAACGTTTATCGATTGTTTCACGTTGCATGTGTGCGCAAATACGCGCGAAAACGACGCATATAGCTCTTTGCTGTTTGTCCCGTATTCCAAGACGAGAAGAGCGACCTCGTCTCACCTCGATGCACTTTTTGCGTACGCATGCTAGTTTGCCTTCGCAAGCTCGCGGCTTAATAAATGGCTCGGGTCGAGCCAATCCTGACCACGGTCAACGTAGCAGCACCATATCACGCGCGTACATTGCTTTTTAAGTAGTATATATACACACAGACGGAGATGTATACATACCTCCGCGTTGCGAGAGCGCATGCAATGCATGAAGAAAGGCGCGAGCAACCGAGAGAGCGAGATACGATGAGTGAGTTATATTTCGCACGATGCACCTAGTTGCACCGGGTTAACCTCTGCATTCGGGTGCGCGTGTACCCGATGATGGGGTATGTCGTATAACGTTTACATCGTACTACGTAATTCGCGAATGCGTACACGCGTTTTATCTCAGAAAACGTCATTGATCTCTTGACGAGTTAACATCACGCGCTATTATTGTATGAGCGATATTATTGTATGAGATATAAAGTTACTATATATATAAATTATTATAATTATTATAATTACTATAATTTTATATAAATTATTATAATTATTATAATTAGATTATTTTATGATAAATATGTGAGGTAGGATATATAATAATAGGTAAAAAATTAGCAAAAGTACATAAAAAAAGATGGCCCTAATTATAAAATTACATTTTTACGTTACTTTCCATTTCCAGCTACCACAAATGAATCTAAACATTGCATTGACCGATTATTGCACCTTGACGAAAACATACAACGTCGCGCACGCAGAAAAAACGTCGCGACATGTCATGTTTTACTAGAAATGAAATCTAGACGTTTGAACGGCTTCGTTTAGGAATGGGCTTAACACCTGTCGCATAATTTTTTTTCCAATCTCATTATCCACCGTGACTTCCTGCCGACGAGTTTAACTAGGTTGAACATTCGCAATATACACTATTCATCCACTCGTCGTGATAAAGGCGATCCTCGAGTTTCCGGACTGTGTTTTTATCGTTCATGCAAATACAATGCGAATGATAGGTCGACTACTTGCGGTATAACGTCCGTAATAGATAGGAGTTGTGCCCCGTGATAGACATAAGTAGACAAAACGGGTCTTTATTTACCTGCACTTATCTGGAACATGACTTCGCAGTATGACTCGCGTGTGCATACGTGTGGGAATACTTTATTGGCGGTGCACGCTATAACCTGCGATATCACTATTAATTAATAGAAGATACATACCCGGTTTCATTTCTCGGTTTTACGAATATATGTAGAATCGCAATGATAGACATAAGCAAACAAGCGTTTTATTTTAAGATTTAGCAGAGTCACGATAATTTCATACTATGAAGCAAAGGCATTTCCGCAGTGATCTATACAATAATATTATTATTCCTGTCGCTATTTTAATACTCAATAAAGGAAAATTAATGAGAGTGGGCTTCTCATTCAGTTTACGAGGACAGAAAGCTACCGCGAAAGATGTAAATAGACAATACGGCTCTTTATTTTAAGAACTAGGGCTGGCTTCTCTAAAATGCATACACAAAGGTGCGAGTTTCAATTTGCAAAATTTTACAGGAAATTACAGACAGAATGCTGTAGCTCACACGGTACTATTCTTTAATGATTAATTCTAAAATAATAATAAATGAATCTCTAATCTTTTCTTCAATATGATCATACACGTTATAAAGAAGACTATATAGCGCTATAATAATAAATTAATTATATTATCTCTGTAACGTGGAGCTTCATAATATAGTTACTACACAACACAAATGAGCTCTGTCCTACATTATTTTATC